CACTGTATTAGTGTCACTTAGTTCCCACCCAGTGTCAGATTGCCCACCACACTATCACAGTCCTAGTACAAGTCGATGATCACCGCCATTAGTAGTATAAAAAAATAATCCCAGTATATATACCATAGTTTGAAGAAGCTTTAAACCAATCAATAATCACTTATTTGAATTCTTTTTTTTTTTTTACCAAAGACATATAGCAGAATACATTTTTTTTATTGGATATGTTTATTAACTGAAAGTAAAAAAAATTTCTTTTTCTGAATTATCGGTCTTTTTTCATTTTTATAATAAAAAATACATAGTCCAGTGGTGATCAAATACCATCAAAAGAAAGCTCTATTTGTGTGAAAAATTTATATAAATTTCATTTGGGTACAGTGTTGCGTGACCGAGCAATTATTGGTTAAAGGAGCGCAGGGCTGAAAAGCAAAAAATGGCCTGGTCATAAAGGGGATAAATTCTTTAAGAGCTGAAGTGGTTAATAAACCCATTTAATACTACACCAGGACAGTGCACTTCTCTTCCTTTTACGTTTAGAGAAAATATCTACTTAAAAGTATGCAGACTGTCATTTCTCATCTCTAATCCTGAAAAACTTGTTTGGCTACAATGCTGATCCAATGATTTCTATATTCCTGAGTTGAAGACTTACACAAATATTATACTGGTTTACTTTGTTTCTTTTTGTGTTTTTTATTCCTGACAGTAGTTATCTAGTAAAATGAAAAACCAGTAATCAGCAATAATCCTTCAAACCTTTTGCACAGTATTTGTGAAATAAAAAAGTTGGTTGCATAAGGAGGCATTATCTAAAATTTTGTGGTTAGTTAAGTGAACACGAAGACTCGACAGCCTTTATTAAAGTGTCATTTTCATGTGCTCCTTAACATTCTGACCACTTAAAGGCACTTAATGCTGAGGCATTTTAGGAATTTCTCATTATCTGCTTAATTATGGAGACCAAATAACTTGCCGTGATCAGCTGAGCTTACATCCGAAAACAGAAACAGCTGCTGGAATGTAAGAGTTTCATTCAAAGACCATAAGATTTCTTAAAATATAAAATATTAAAGGATAAAGAACATAGTTATTTGAGATGTAGATAGCATACCAGTTTATGTTCAATAAGGATATGTTCATTTGTTTATACAATACAGATGTCATTAAGCAGAGTAAAGCGGTCCAAATAAAGGGCAACCTGTTTTCAGATGATGTTGGAAGATCAGTAGCAGTCCATAAGCAGTTATGTTATGGGCAGCACAGTGGCTAAATGGTTATCACTTCCGCCTGGCAGTACTGGGGTTGTTGGTTCGAATCCCAGCCACGGCGCCATCTGCCTGGAGTTTGCATGTTCTCCCTGTGCCTGCATGGGTTTTCTCCGGGTATTCTGGTTTCCTCCCACACTCCAAAGACATGCTGGTAGGTTAATTAGATCCTGTCTAAAATGGGCCCTAGTATGTGTATGTATAAATGTAACTTAGGGACTTTAGATTGAGGGTTAGGGACTGATGTGAATGTACAATATACAGTGGGGATCGAAAGTTTGGGCACCCCAGCTAAAAATTTGTATTAATGTGCATAAAGAAGCCAAGGAAAGATGGAAAAATCTCCAAAAGGCATCAAATTACAGATTAGACATTCTTATAATATGTCAACAAAAGTTCGATTTTATTTCCATCATTTACACTTTCAAAATAACAGAAAAGAAAAAAATGGCGTCTGCAAAAGTTTGGGCACCCTGCAGAGTTAATATCTTGTACTGCCCCCTTTGGCAAGTATCACAGCTTGTAAACGCTTTTTGTAGCCAGCCAAGAGTCTTTCAATTCTTGTTTGAGGTATCTTTGCCCATTCTTCCTTACAAAAGTCTTCCAGTTCTTTGAGATTTCTGGGCTGTCTGTCACGCACTGCTCTTTTAAGGTCTATCCATAGATTTTCAATTATGTTGAGGTCAGGAGATTGTGAAGGCCATGGCAAAACCTTCAGTTTACGCCTCTTGATGTAATCCCCCCTGGATTTCGAGGTGTTTTTAGGATCATTATCCATTTGTAGAAGCCATCCTCTCTTTAACTTCAGCTTTTTCACAGATGGCATCAAGTTACCATCCAAAATTTGCTGAAATTTTATTGAATCCATTTTTCCTTCTACTCGTGAGATGTTCCCTGTGCCACTGGCTGCAACACAACCCCAAAGCATGATTGATCCAACCCCATGCTTAACAGTTGGACAGAGGTTCTTTTCATTAAATTCTGTGCCCCTTCTTCTCCAAACGTACCTTTGCTCATTCCGGCCAAAAAGTTCAATTTTAACCTCATCGGTCCACAGAACTTGTTTCCAAAATGCATCAGGCTTGTCTATATGTTCATTTGCAAAGTTCAAATGATGATTTTTGTGGTGAGGACGTAGAAGTTTTCTTCTGATGACTCTTCCATGAAGACCATATTTGTACAAGTATCTCTTTATAATGGAATAGTGTACCACAACTCCAGTGTCTGCCAGATCTTTCTGGAGGGATCGTGCAGTCAAACGTGGGTTTTGAATTGTTTTTCTCACAATCCTGCAAGCTGTTCTGTCTGATATTTTTCTTGGTCTTCCAGATCTTGCTTTAACTTCCACTGTTCCTGATGACTGCCATTTCTTAATTACATTGCCGAACAGAGGATATTGACATCTGAAAACGCTTTGCTATCTTCTTATAGCCTTCTCCAGCTTTGTGAGCGTCAACTATTTTCAGTTTCAGTTTTCTAGACAACTGCTTAGAAGAACCAATGGTGCTGATTGTTGGGGCAAGGTCAGATGAGTCTGGGCATTTAAAACCTTTGAGATTGACATCACCTGGTCTTCCCAGACGATGATTGGGAACAATCCATGACACTGGCAGGTCTCAGCTTGGCAAAGGGGGCAGTGCATGCTATAAATTCTGCAGGGTGCCCAAACTTTTGCAGACGCCATTTTTTTGTTTTCTGTTATTTTGAAAGTGTAAATGATGGGAATAAAATCTAACTTTTGTTGACATATTATAAAAATGTCTAATCTGTAATTTGATGCCTTTTGGAGATTTTTCCATCTTTCCTTGGCTTCTTTATGCACATTAATACAAATTTTTAGCTGGGGTGCCCAAACTTTCGATCCCCACTGTATATGTAAAGAGATTACAATTAACATGTACTGGGCATAAGTGATTTCTGTGATAAACTTGATTGCACCTCCATCATTCTGTCCCTTAGAGTATGCCTGCTGGAGGATCTGGTTGCTAGGATGGCCGAGATAACTCTGATTGGTCTTCTCTAATTCTATGCTAGAAAAGCCATCACATGTGTGTTGGAAGAAACAGGCTCCATGCTCCCTTTCCCTTTGGAAACAACAGGTTAATAACATTTTGCCTCTGTACAAGGATAAATATTTACACAGAGGTTGCCCAAAAGAATACAACAAAATCTGGGCGAAATGGTTGGCAGAACTTTCCACTGCAGCAGTTGAACATTTCATACAGAATTCCCTGATACTCGCTCCTGTTAGCTTTTAGGTTACATTAGGGTTATATTGGGAACTTTGGTTGGTACACCATCACCAGTCAGATGAGCATGAGCTTTATTAGTTATTTTTGCATAGTTGCAGCCCTTGAGTATGTGCTGGACAATTTGGTTGTGCCAATTTGCCTACGTTAAGCCCCTGCAAGGGCCATGTGCCCAAATCTTTTTTATGTTTGTGTTATTGTATGTTTTGGACGTTATTATTAAACCAATAAAAAGATATTTAAAAAAAAAGTTGCATGACAAGTCGTACTTTTCAGTGACAACCATTCAGATATGTACGACTTAAAGTTGCAGTTCATGTAGTTCATGCACTACCTTGGTAGGACGTTCATGCAACTTGAGTGCCATAGACTAATGTAAACCTTCAAAAGATGTATAAAAGTTGCACCTGAATATTATAAATGCAACAGTTGTCCATTATCATTAATGAAAGCCAAAGTCATATCCAAGTTGCACCCAAAGTTGCGTCAACATTGAACAAGTGTGAACGGTACTTTAGACAATTGTTAACGAAACCTCATATCCCTACTGCCAGGTTTCTCATCCATCCCTCTGCTAGTGGTTATCTTAAACTGTTTGATTTCCACCACATTCAGTCCTGGTGACAGTGGTCACCAGGAGAAAGAGTATGGATCTCCCTAATGGGGACACAGATGACAATAAAGGCATTAAAAGGTTTCTAACCGCTCACGGCTATATCCCACACTATTAAAAACAAATTTTGACTTTAGATACACTTTAAGGGGAAAGTATAGTATTTTGTGTTTATTAGGAATGAACATTTAAAGAATCTCACCAGTATAACATTTTAAAAATCATGTTTCTTTGTATAGATTATAGTTATGTGTGTATAGGGAGGCAGCCATATTTGATACATACTGTATTCCTATTGCAAAAAGTGAAGCACTTAGCAATAGACCTTTTTCTATTTAAACATATGAGATTCTGGTAGGCTTTTAGCTCAGGGCTTGACTGAAGAAATAAAATAGGTGCTGATGAATAACAACCTAACGTGGGTTGATTTAAAGTGTATAATGAAAACAGAAACAGCTGTGTAGAGAGAATAAAAATAGGCAAAGGACAAAAAGGTGAGGTTGCAGTAGCTATGGCAAATCTTCCACCATGAAAAAAGTGATCATAGTGACAACACAACTTTTTTTAATGAGTCCCCTGACATGGTAAAGAGCACTGTGCTGCTTCTCTTCTTTTATTAAATTTTTTTTTCATTACAAAAATCCATATTATGTCCAACGATTCTTAAATACATAAACACTACATACTTCGTACCTGTTCCCTACACCACCCACCCTTATTTTCAACCCACCCATATCCCCGGTCCACATTCCAAATTCAATATCTCTTCTTCTCTATCTCTTATATTTTCCGAAGTCTATATCCCTTTCATTCATCTAAGGTTCTATAGCTACTCATTTGCCCTTACCAACTCTCCCCACTCTTCCTACCTTAAGCTCCTACCACTTCCCAATATCTTTCAGATAATTTAAAATGATACCATCAACTCCACACTTCTCTCATTTTTTTCCATTTTGTCCTTATCCACATGATATAACTCCTCCATCTTACATATGTATTCGACTCTCTTTATCCACTCCTTTATGTTCGGGGACTCTTGGTCTAACCAATATTTAGGGATAAGACTTTTGGCTGCACTAATTAAATGATATAATACACTATTTTTGTATTGTTTCACTGAAGTCTCGGTGTTATTAAATATACACGCCCACAGGTCCCTCTGTACCATTGTCCCCGATATCTCCCCTATATATTGAATTATTTCCTGCCGGAACTTCTGAATTTTAAGACAATCCCACCATATGTGAGCCATTGTTCCTTTATTCCCACACCCTCTCCAACATAATGGTGAGAAATCTAATCGTTGTTTATGTGGCACTCTCTGGCACCCCTTACCACATGCATCATCAAACCCAGACCGCTTCAACCCTGGCAGACCGACAGCACTAAACGCCTCAAACGTCGCAGTCGCGCACTGGAGAGACTGTGGCGCAAAACCAGGTCCCCTCATACATTCTCCCTCTACAAATCTGCATTTTTCACCTACACCTCCTCCCTCCACACCGCCAAGCAGGCCTACTTTGTTAACCTGATCAACACCCTCTCCTCCTGCCCCCGCCGACTCTTCTCCACCTTCAACTCCCTGCTCTCTCCCCCCCCTCCTCCACTCAGTACCTCTCTCACCGCCCACGAGATTGCCACCCATTTCCACAACAAGATTGACGCTATCCGTAAGGACATCGTCAACTTGCAATCTACCTCCCCACCTAGCCTCCCCACCCCTGTCACCCCTTCATCTCCCCCCTCCTCTGCCCTCACAACCGCACTGCCCCCCCACCTCTCCCAAGGCCCCACCCACCATAACCCCCCCTGCACTGCACTCCCTCTGCCCTGTCACTACTGAGGAAGTCGCCAAAGTCCTCTCAGAAGCCCGCCTCACTACCTGCCCCCTGGACCCTATCCCCTCTCAACTCCTCCGGTCACCCCCCGCCTCCCTCATCCGCTCCCTCACCCACATCTTCAATCTCTCCCTCTCTACTGGCGCATTCCCCTCCCCCCTAAAGCACGCGCATATCACCCCCATCCTCAAAAACCCCAACAACCTCAGACCCATCTCCCTGCTGCCACTCACCTCCAAGCTCCTTGAGCGCACAGTCTACGATCGCCTAAGCTCACACCTTACAGACAATAACCTCCTTGACCCACTACAGTCCGGCTTCCGTCCCCTACACTCCACTGAAACTGCCCTCCTCAAAATCACATCACTACGACCTACTAAACGCCAAAGCCAAGAATGACTACTCTGTTCTCCTTCTCCTGGACCTCTCTGCGGCCTTCGACACAGTTGACCACCTCCTCCTCCTTAATAAACTACTCTCCCTTGGCATCAGAGATACCGCTCTCTCTTGGTTCTCATCCTACCTATCCCGACGCTCCTTCAGTGTCACCTACAATGGTGCCACCTCCCCCTCCCTGTTGGGGTCCCCCAAGGCTCTGTCCTTGGACCCCTTCTCTTCTCCATCTACACCTCCTCCCTGGGCAAACTCATACACTCCCACGGCTTCAACTATCACCTCTACGCTGACGACACCCAAATCTACCTCTCCACCCCTCTCCTCACCCCCAATATCTCTGCCCGCATCACTCACCTCCTAAATGACATCTCAGACTGGATGTCGCTACATTTCCTCAAGCTCAACCTCTCCAAAACCGAGCTCCTCGTCTTTCCCCCTGCCCACACCCCCCCCCCCCCCCCCATCCTATCCATCATCACCAACAACTCCACTATCACTCCCGCCCCGCAAGCCAAAGTCCTTGGCGTCATTCTTGACTCGAACCTCTCCTTCCAACCGCATGTCAAATCACTCACAAACACATGCAGGCTCCATCTCCGCAACATTGCCAAGATACGTACCTTCCTCACCCTTGACACCATCAAACTTCTAGTACACTCCCTCATCATCTCACGCCTTGACTACTGTAATTCTCTTCTCACCGGCCTACCCAAGTGCAGGCTCTCCCCGCTCCAGACCATCCTGAACTCAGCGGCTAGACTCATCCACCTCACCACCCGCTCCACCTCTGCCACCCCCCTCTGCCTCTCCCTCCACTGGCTCCCGATTGCCCAACGCATCAAATTTAAACTTCTAACCCTGACCTACAAAGCCGTTCACAATACTGCCCCTGACTACTAGAGATGAGCGAATCGAACTTGGCGAAGTGGAATTCCTTTCGAAGATTAGGAAAGATTAGGAAATTTTCCAAAAATGGCGGCGACATCAGCCAGCACTGTGTAATGGTCGAGCTATAAATTGCGGCCATCTTAGAATTCTCCATTAGCCTCCGGTCATTCAAGAGAGACAGACCTCTCTGTATTAGGGACAGAGTTAGGGCCAGAGAGACTTTAGGGACACAGAATTGTTACTCAGGGGACAGACACAGAATTGTTACTGAGGGACACAGAATTGTTACTCAGGGACACAGAACTGTTACTCAGGGACACAGAATTGTTACTCAGGGACACAGAACTGTTACTCAGGGACACAGAACTGTTACTCAGGGACACAGAATTGTTACTCAGGGACAGACACAGAATTGTTACTGAGGGACACAGAATTGTTACTCAGGGACAGACACAGAATTGTTACTGAGGGACACAGAAATTGTTACTCAGGGACACAGAATTGTTACTCAGGGACACAGAATTGTTACTCAGGGACACAGAATTGTTACTGAGGGACACAGAATTGTTACTGAGGGACAGACACAGAATTGTTTACTGAGGGGACACAGAATTGTTACTCAGGACAGACACAGAATTGTTACTGAGGGACACAGAATTGTTACTCAGGGACACAGAATTGTTACTCAGGGACACAGAACTGTTACTCAGGGACACAGAATTGTTACTCAGGGACACAGAATTGTTACTCAGGGACACAGAAATGTTACTCAGGGACAGACACAGAATTGTTACTGAGGGACACAGAATTGTTTACTGAGGGACACAGAATTGTTACTCAGGGACAGACACAGAATTGTTACTGAGGGACACAGAATTGTTACTGAGGGACACAGAATTGTTACTGAGGGACACAGAATTGTTACTGAGGGACACAGAATTGTTACTCAGGGACAAAAGAACTGTTACTCAGGGACAAAGAATTGTTACTCAGGGACAGACACAGAATTGTTACTGAGGGACACAGAATTGTTACTCAGGGACAGACACAGAATTGTTACTGAGGGACACAGAATTGTTACTGAGGGACACAGAATTGTTACTGAGGGACACAGAATTGTTACTCAGGGACACAGAATTGTTACTCAGGGAAACAGAATTGTTACTCAGGGACACAGAACTGTTACTCAGGGACACAGAACTGTTACTCAGGGACACAGAACTGTTACTCAGGGACAGACACAGAATTGTTACTGAGGGACACAGAATTGTTTACTGAGGGACAGACACAGAATTGTTACTGAGGGACACAGAATTGTTACTGAGGGACACAGAATTGTTACTGAGGGACACAGAATTGTTACTGAGGGACACAGAATTGTTTACTGAGGGACACAGAACTGTTACTCAGGGACACAGAATTGTTACTCAGGGACAGACACAGAATTGTTACTGAGGGAACCAGAATTGTTACTGAAGGACACAGAATTGTTACTGAGGGACACAGAATTGTTACTCAGGACAGACACAGAATTGTTACTGAGGGACACAGAATTGTTACTGAGGGGACACACAGAATTGTTATTCAGGGACACAGAATTGTTTACTCAGGGACACAGAATTGTTTTACTCAGGGACACAGAACTGTTACTCAGAGGACACAAGAATTGTTACTCAGGGACAGACACAGAATTGTTACTGAGGGACACAGAACTGTCACTGAGGGACACAGAATTTGTTACTCAGTGACAGACACAGAATTGTTACTGAGGGACACAGAAATTGTTACTGAGGGACACAGAATTGATACTGAGGGAGGACACAGAATTGTTACTCAGGGACACAGAACTGTTACTCAGGGACACAGAACTGTTACTCAGGGACAAGCACAGAATTGTTACTGAGGGACACAGAATTGTTACTGAGGGACACAGAATTGTTACTGAGGGACAGACACAGAATTGTTACTGAGGGACAGACAACAGAATTGTTACTGAGGGACACAGAATTGTTACTCAGGGACAGACACAGAATTTGTTACTGAGGGACAGACACAGAATTGTTACTGAGGGACACAGAATTGTTACTGAGGGACACAGAATTGTTTACTGAGGGACACAGAATTGTTACTCAGGGACACAGAGAAACTGTTACTCAGGGACACAGAATTGTTACTCAGGGACAGACACAGAATTGTTACTGAGGGACACAGAATTGTTACTGAGGGACACAGTAATTGTTACTGAGGGACACAGAATTGTTTACTCAGGGACAGACACACAGAATTGTTACTGAGGGACACAGAATTGTTACTGAGGGACACAGAATTGTTACTCAGGGACACAGAATTGTTACTCGGGGACACAGAACACTGTTACTCAGGGACACAGAATTGTTACTCAGGGACAGACACAGAATTGTTACTGAGGGACACAGAATTGTTACTCAGGGACACAGAATTGTTACACAGGGACACAGAACTGTTACTCAGGGACACACATTAGAATTTGTTACTCAGGGACAGACACAGAATTGTTACTGAGGGACACAGAATTGTTACTGAGGGACACAGAATTGTTTACTGAGGGGGACACAGAATTGTTACTGAGGGACACAGAATTGTTACTGAGGGACACAGAATTGTTACTCAGGGACAGACACAGAAATTGTTTACTCAGGGACACAGAATCGTTACTCAGGGACACAGAATCGTTGAATTAAAGAGTATGTCAGACAACACGCAGAGGAGTGGCAGAGGAGTCAATGTTTTCAGGAGCGAGCAGACGTGGCAGCAGAGGAAGGGGTCGAGGCAGCACTAGTCGCAGCCAGGAGGCCAGTGCTCCCGGTGTCATCCAGCGGTCGTGTTCCCCTCCACCGACAACCCTGCCGTCATCGATTGATTGGCTCGGTCGTCTTTCCTCTTCCCAGGTCACCTCTGACACCTACAGCCAACGGTCGGGGGGTGGGTGGGGGGGGGGGGGGGGGGGGACGTCAGACACAACCGTTAGTTGGCATGGCCCTTGGAGCAAGCCCCACTGAAATCACGTGTCCTTCTACCTGCCCCTGTCCTTTGGTGTTCCCTCACCAAGCGAAGTATCGCATTGCTGTGGGCTTCAGCCCCACTGTACAGTGAGGAAGAGCTAACAGAGGGCGGTCAGGAACGGGGGGAGACATCCGCCTCTTCAGCAGC